TCACTGGACAATAAAACTTACTGACAGGCAAGGTCAGGGGCACTAAAAATAGAACTGGAAAATTTCTTTGCAGGTACAGTTGTACAGGTATAAAACCTTAAAATATTGTTGAGTTTAGATGAGGATTCACAGTTCCCACCAACCAAGTTTAATTAAAGGAACTGCGAAATGCTAAATATGACCTCAAATTCAAACAAAGTTTACAGAGTTATTTTTTTTGTTTTCTTCAGAAATATTCAGTACACATCTCATAAAATAGTTCTGCTTTCTTAGTTGCTCTGTCATATCTTGTGATAGTGCAGAAATTAGCTGAACCAGTTTTTAAACCTATATTTGCCCATTCAAGTGGTCCTATTCATTTCCAAGACATGAAATGGTTACATACCAGCTCAAAAGAATGACAGAGTTGGCCACTATTGCCACATACAGTAATTGGGAGCAAATGAGAGTCGCTAGTACATGCTCAGACCACACATTACATTTTCAAAGAATCAGAAATATTAAAATGAGAGATTACCAATTTCAAAGCTTCCATTAATGATGCCCACTAAAGAAGCTGGGATATTAAACTGTTTCTCTATCTGTGTGTACATGCTGTTCATGTAAGCACCAGACATCGTTTTCCCAAGGAATGCAAGTGACAGTGCCAGCAGAAATACCTAGGAAGGGAAGAGAAGAATACATAAACAATTCAGAATTACATATATATATATATATGTGTGTGTGTGTGTTTATATATATAAAACCATATTCCATGGTTATTTCCTCCAGTGAAGGTGAGCTTCCAGTTAAAAAAGTGGGCAGTTCTGTTCCACTGATATGTGTGTAAATCCCATCATCTATTCTTTTCTAGAGTAATGGCTTCACTAAACAAACAAAAAAAAATTTAAAAAACCAAAACAAAACAAAAACCAACAACAACAACAAAAAATACCAACCAAAAGCTTGGTTCTTCATCTTTTACTGACCAAGACTGTCTTCAGAAACCCCAAGTCCCATTCACCCAGCCAAGGCAGCCGTGTGCCTGCTGCAAGGTTGCCATCTGCAGGACCTTCCCACCCTCTGTTCATCTGAATGACAAATTGCTTGCAGAACTAAGATCATTTCCTTTGGCCAAATTACTCAATCCAGGATCTGCTCTCCCATCTCAGCAGAGGTCATGAGGCCAGAAAAATTGCAATCAAAAGGAGTAAATAACATGTCCTTTTTGCCAGTTAGTAGCAACTGACAGTTAAAAAGTTAAAATTAATGAGTGCAGTAGTATTCAAATCCTTTTAACTTCAGGCTTCTTTATAAACAGCATTTGTGAAATAAAATCAATATTACTTTTAAATACATCTGCTGCAAATGCTAAAAAGCAAAAGAAATGTATTTGGGTTTTTTTAATTACTATTTTAAAAAAGCTATTTTACAAGATTGTTAGCATTTCTTGACAACTTAAATTACTATTCAAGATCAACAGCAAATTTTTGCTGGACATCCCAGTCAGTAAGGCTCATTTCACAGCTTTAAGAAGGAAGAGTAAATGTTTTAGACTGCGGGGATTACACAAAGTCAGTGGCAGAGCTTCAAAGCAGCAATCAATCAATACCTCCAGCACATCACAGAGTGTAAAGTTCAGGGAGAGCAAAAACCAGCTCAGCTGTTTACAAACGTTTTTGACCTTGGTTAGGGCATTAGGTGTAAAAAAGAACAGGTTATTCATTCATTTAGTCTAGGCTGTAACTTCTGCCAATGCAAGTAATTACAGTTTTGTGTTCCTACAAAATCACTAAAATATTGCTGTACCTTCAGCTTGGAAATGCAGCAGATTTTGTCCTCTGCACGTGGCTTCTCAGGCTCCTTCATGTTGCCTTTTTTAATTGATACTGATGTCTGTTTCTGGGTCTGTCAGCCATCCCATTACAGTGGTGAAAAAAAAAAATGAAAAGAACAAAAGTTTTTGTCCCATGTTTGAAAAAAATATTCCTTCTAAGAGATTTGATATTTTAGCATTTTCCTTAAATAATTGCAAACCGGATTGCAACAAAGCCTGCAAGCCAATGGATTTTATTCTAAATGAAGTAACTTGATTAGAATAGAGACATTAATCTGTTGGCATTAAAATTAGAGGAAATTAAAATAAAACCAAAACCACCAGACCAACTCGAGTTCTAAATGGACACAAAACAGACTCCATTCTCCTTCCCCTCCCAAGATTTTCAAAAACATTCCTCTTTATTCATCTGCCTACTTTTACTTATCTCCATCTCAGCCTGATGATTAGAGTGTCTCATAGTGCTAATCTGCCTGCTTTCATAACATTTTACATATATTCCAAAAATGTGTTCAAAGAGGGAGCAAACATATTCCAGGGACTTGGATATACTCACGTGTGAAAGCCCCGACACATCTGAGGGTTTGGACAATGAATTAAACAGGTCTTATTCTGAGGACTCCTACAAAGGCTGCATTAAATAAAGTTATGCCATACAGTTCCCTGATGGCAAGCTGAAGCAAACCAGGGCAAGTAAGAGCCCTACCTGATAGGCAGGATGGATACAGGTTAATTTCCTCTTTTTTTTTTTTTTTGTCTTGGATACACTTTCCAAGTGTAGCAGCTGCTCTGCTCTGTGTTTTTTCACCTCATGGATCCAGGGCTGGGGAGCAAGCTTGACAAGCCCACCAATAGGACTGAACCATGTTTCAAATTCTTCAGCTCGACACCCTCCTGGTCAATCTCTTCAAACATTAATTTCTACAACAATGTTAATCCTCTCAAATGTGTTTCCTAACTAACTTGGTTCCTAGCAAATTCACAGGCATTAACTCCTTCTGTAACTACCTTCTCACTTCCAGTTTTTGAAACCATAATGCATCATTACAGCATTTCTGGAAATATTTTACAATTAGTTGTAGGTGGTCAGCACTCAGACAATAGATACAGAGTTTCTATTTCTGCTTTGCTCACAGATACTTCCACAAACTGTGTTCAATCACAGGACTAAACTGTGCTCGTACAGCTTTTTTTTTTTTTTAATCTGAAATAAAATTTATATCCCAGGGAATTGTTTATGCCTTATCTAAATGGTGCTTTTCTCTGAAGCCCACCAGCAATACCAAAATGCAACAGCAGTGCCCTATATCTGTCCTCTTCTAGGAGCTGGCAAAGGGATTCTTTCCCTTACTGCACCAGTCCCTGCATTTCACTATCACACCCAGGGAAGATCATCTGGCTAATTGCAGGTTTTCTCTTCTGGTGCTACAAGATACCAGACAACAAACAACCTGTTACCATTTGACTTGGGGAATCAGACACATCACACTGCTCCTCATGCAATTACAGAAGACAAAACAGCATTGTTTGCATTTAATTATTTATACCTTCCCTCAGAGCATAAATTATGATCTGGAAAAAAAAAAAAACCACCACATTTGAATCAATGATTTACTGGGAAGATTAATAAGATTATTAATTGAATAACAAAGTAGACAGAATATTTCCAGCTCTGTTTCTGAAATTACTTTCCCCAGCTTTATAATATTTTGTGGTCACACTTTGTCAAATGTTACTAAAGCCAACACAGACTAACAGCCTAAATTATCAGAAAGACACAGGTGCATAACTCACTCAGCTCAGGTGCATTCACACCGCACTTAAAGTCCAGGTCAGAATATAAATTACAATTTATAAAAAAAAAAAAGATTAACCAAGTGTGCTCCCACTCCCTTCTCCCATCCACCTGCTCTCCATTGTACATTCCTCTTGAGTGCCTTGTTTACACTCTTGGGCTCCTCAGACTCATCTGCAAACATCTTTAGCTCATTAAACAGGCCAAAATATAGCTATAGTAAAATACAGCTATATTAAAGCAGTTACGCAGAGGTTTACCCCCGAGTTATTACTGACCTACCAGCTGTCAGGTAAACACCTGCACCTGAATCCCACTCATGACCTGCAATGTTTGCTGGAGTTTCAGGGAAGAGGGCAGTAAAATTCCTCCCTCCCCTTCTGCACTGAGTTGGTGACACATTTGTGACAGGCTGGGAAGTTGGCAGTGACACCAAAACTGTCTCTTCCAGTCATCTCCACTGTCTGACAAAATCTCCCTGGGCAGGCAGAAAGACAGACAAGTGATGAGAAGACACGCACTTTGCACAGTGCACAGAGGTTTCTCACAGTGTGGTCACTTCAGAGCAGCTGTAGCACACATAGCATCCCATATAAACTGGGCTGGACAAGGCTGCCTTAAAACCAAAGCAGATCCTTCCTGTGTGGGCCAAAACAGGCTTTTTTGGTGCAGGCAGACAAGCACTGAGACATCACTGTGGATCCATTTGTCCCACACAAACCCAGCAAGACATTTTATAGTTTTAAATTCACATTTCATTCTAGCTAACTAATAAAAAAGGACAAAAGCACCCAAATATCTGGATTTAAAGTTGATGATGCAATGTTTTGCAAGTTGCCTTGCTGAAGTCCCAGGAGGACATGCTGCTTTAAATGTAAAATTCATCTTCCATTTAGCTCAGCTTAGTCATATAGATAAACTGCCACATCTTTATTTCGTTCACAGGGTTAAAAATCACAAAACAACCACTCAGCAATTATGGTGTCAGAATTTTTAACTAATTTACTTCTCTGGTTGCAAAAAGCTTTTTGAAATCTTGTTTTACTAGGTACAGTTCAAACTGCTACTAAAATGCAATTACACTAATGTTAGACTGAGACAACAGAAAATATTCTCATGGCAAAACAATTAGGTACTTACAGTTCTGAAAAGGTTTCTGCAAGAAATCACTGATATGGCACACTTGACCTTTGACATTAAATCTGCATTGTTGAAAATTAACCAAGCATGGGGCCAAACTTGTGTTTTTGCCAAATTTCAGCTGTGCATTTTAGAATGCTCGGATGTGACAGACATGGACCGAATTCTTAGAAGGAAAATTAAGCCCACCTCTTTCTCTTCCCTGCAAAAAAAAGGGACCAAGGGCTACATCTGTGTCAGATCTCTGAGCATGAAGCACTCCTGTCCACTGAAGACATCCAGAGAGCACCCACAAGCAAGGTGGGACTTTAGGAATGCATGTAAGTATATAAATGTACAGGCTGGGTGGAGTTCTAGGAAAGGGTGACACAGGGTCAGAAGGGAAGAGGGGAATGAGATCGTGTTACTGATTACTGGATGTTACAAAATCAGAGAGTAATTTGGCCAAGCATAAGTAGTTCTAGTTAACTTGACAGGAAGAGATAATTTGAATTGATTAAGTCCTTTAGACATCACCTAAGAATCAGTAGGTACCCCTTCAAGTCTTGGTGCTGAGACAGGTTTCATGTATGACCTTAAAACTCCTGTTGGCACTTGCTTTTGTCCCCCTGCCAGAAAGTACCAATGCACACCAGAATCCTAAATGCTGCATGTAAAACGTGCAGTGAGGGTGGGATTGGGATTTGTGAAAGCCTGAATTTCTGATATGATGTCTTCTTAGTTCTCACACATGGGAAAAAGTCTCATGTAAAAAGCTCTTTACATGGTTCCAATATGTGAAAAGCCTCATACTTCCTCAGAAAATACACATTTTCTTAGAGCTATAGCACTGCTTTCCATTTTCTCTTCCTAGTGGTCTTCAAACCACACCTGATGTCTGCCTGTACTGAAATTTACCTTATACATCTTAACCAGAAATAGAAAGGATGTTTCCACCTTTGATCCTCCAACAAAAATCTGAGGTAAATTCTTATTTCACCCTAAGGTATTTCAACAGTTTTCTTGCATTCTATATTTTCTTCACTTACCCACTGCCACTTTTTGGAAATGAAAAAAATCCCCCGACAAGATAATAAGACAAAAACCTATGGTCCAAAGTATGAGGATACTGCTCACTGAAATAAGCAAAATGGGGAAATAAAAGCCATTGTCCCGGAGTTTAATAAATTATTAAATAAATAGCCATTAAATAAGTTTTACTGACATTAAAAATCCCCAAAACATAGTAACATCACATACAGGACTGTGCAATTCTACAGTCTCTGTAACATTATTTTATTCAACAATAATTTCAGCTCAGGGCAAGTAAGGTTGAAGATTCAGACCCAACTCAGGATTTACAAAAAATGAAAATCAAAATTTCCAGTCAAATAAACACCACCTTGTAGTAGGCACTTAAAAATTTCTTTTAAATACTTATCTCTGTGACAGAAAAATTAACCCAGGGGTTATTTCAAGGGGCAGTTGAAGTGATTTATAATTGGCAACAGGTACAAATTAACTAACCTCTCCAAGAATAGAGGAGTAGATATGTGAAGTTATCATATGTTCATAAATGCACAGATTAATATTCAGTAAAATTATGTAAAATTCAATACATAGGGAATTCAGCATTGTTCTTGATTGTGATTAATTCATGGGTAATAAAGCATTATAGAGTCTATGACATCTTAGCATACAGAATTCCCTTCTTCTCCATGGGATTCTATTAAAGGCCATATTCTCACTGAGTTCACTCTTTCCTGCATTATCAACCTTCTGTTTTGAGAAACTGAGACACCACAGGTGTTTTTTTCCTGTCTGGAGAGGTTTTGTTTGAGGGGTAGCTCTGTTCATTCAAATGCTTCATTATGGGGAATACATCTCGAGAACATTGAGTATCTGTACAGAATCAGGTATAACCTATTCTTAGCAAGGAGCTGTGTTGAAGATGCTCACTCAGAACCTCACAATAGGCATTATAGTCAGATATTTCCAGAGAGTAATTTATCCCATTTTAAGACAGCTGTCTAAAATAAGTGGGAGGAAGAACCTCTCTGGAGGTGCTTCTTTCTTCCCCTTGATTTGGAAGTCTCAAGAGCTTAGCTTAGTCTGGATAACTAATTTTTAGACAGATAAAGACCAGATCAGCTGGCTCCTGCCCTGGTTATCTTTCTTTGTGTCATTCTAGATCCACTCATCTTGTACAAGGAGCAAAAATCCTGTGAGCCAGCATCTCCCAGCCTAAGGTCAGGACCCACTTACAGCTGCTTGTGCAGACAAATTCAAATTCAAATGGATTAACAGTGTTCTTACGGAAATCAGTCGAAGTTCTCAGTGAAAAATGCAGAGTACAATTATTGGTCCTAGTCTAAATGTTGTATGTCATGATGATCTACCTACCAAAAACGCAGATGACATTTCTGGCCTCACTCTAAACACAACACATTATTTTGAAACCACTAAGGACCAGGTAGCTCTTTCCCAGCACTGCAGTTGTAAGCAACCACTTCTAATCCAAGAAAAGCTGGGAATGTGAACTATTTCTTCACAGAACCCCAGCATCCCTAGGTTGCACATCCCATGGGAAGTGGAATGCAAGCTAGCAAGGATATCATGACACAGAATAGGTTCTCCATCATTTCCCCCATCAGTTCAGAGCTGGATTCTCCATTGATCAAAAATGCATTTATATAGGCAGTGTTTGTACCAAAAGAAGGTAATGAAGAGGAGCCACAAGGTCTCATTGCAGTGACTAGTGAAAAGACTCAGAGGTAAGATCTTGATGTACTCAAACCAGGTAGAAAAGCATCCATCTGCATTTAATAAAAAATAGGGTGCTGTTTACCCTGGTAGGCACAGAAACACAGATAGGCACAAAACTTTCTGCCCATTTTGAGTCTGAATTCAGATTTACTTTGACCATCCAGTAAGTTGTTCTTCCCTCTCATCTCAATAGAGTTCATGTCAGCTACATGAACTTATAAAATCTAAAAATTCAGATCTGTCTCCTGTCCTCGACTCTGCCATCAACTCTACTCATCCCTTTCAACTCATGAGTGCCTCAATTTTTTGTCCCATGTAACACAGGAACAATAAGCAAACTTTTCTAGAAAGCATTTAAACCCGTATTTTGGAGATAATACTGCATAGGTGCAAAACATTATTCCTGTCTGGTTTTCATAACTAGTTATTTATTTAAAGTAGTGATACTGTCATAACAGTTTCTCCCTTAAGAAAGCAGTTTAGCACATTGGTTTGCAGATGTATGGATTTGGGGGCTTTGCTTTTGTTTTGGCATAGCATATTCATGCCTTCTAGCCTTGCAGCAAAATTCATTAAGACATAAAATTTTTTATTCTTCATAAAATTTGCTGCAAGTCTGGAAGACATTCTGTTGTACAAACTTCTGGTTTTAAATGTTAGAAAACATAAATGTTTCAATTGTCAAAACAGCTTTTCAGAATGTTGAAAACCTAATTATATACTTTTGGGCAGTACTTCTTAGTTGAAGTACAAAGGGATTTGTTTTGTGATCAGGTCGTCAGCTTTCCACTAACGAGGCAAATTGTCTCAGGAACATACTTTGAGAAAAGTTAAAGGAATGAATGTACTGCAGGTTGACTGGCAGTTCAAAGCTTCAAAGTCTCTCTGGAGCCTTTTCCTCTGAAAAAATGACATTACCTATGATTCATCAATCAGTGGTTTATGTAACCTGATAGCATTTCACTTTCACTATCCATCAAGTCCACAGGGTTTCTGGTGTGTGATAATATGCTTTGTGTGCAGAGATACCATCAGGCTAGATGGTTAAAGGTGATACTTCTGGCCTTTCTAGGTAAACTTTACTTAGCTCAGTCCTGAAAGTTGTGAAACATGAGTGGAAGATCCAGGATCTTTTGGGAGTCAGGCACATAGCTAGGCATGCACCTGTGAGCACAGCTTTCTAGATACAAACATCTCATTTTTAAAACATGGGAAATTTTCATAGGATCCCCTGAAATAGATACTCTTTCTCAGGAAGGTTAAAGTTGTATGAAATATACATCCTCTTTTGGCAGTGAAAATTAAAGCACTGACTTCAAATAAGTGTAGCTTTAAGAGTTCCTAATAAAAAATACCTCACCTCTATGGTGATAATGACTATGGTTCTTTCAATAAGGGCTTTTTAAACTTCTCAAATTGTTATGAGTATTGTAAAAGGCAGCAGAATGATATAATGCCTTAAAGCAGTGGGTTCTAGTGATCCATAACACCATGAAGATTATGCCTGCCTATGAAGACATCCTAAAAAAATTGTTGGAGTGTGTTAACCCCTCATTTACATGAAGTGGTATGAAATGTTCTGTTGACATGAAATTAGAGATGACATTGCCAACATTGCTCATTTTTAAACACAATACCAGTAAGCATGAACACAATTCCAATAAGCATGTGGGACTGTGATAGCTCTCAAAAGTGAGAAGAGCCATTTGCAGACTGTGAGAACTCTGAAAACTATCAAAATCAAGCCTACAGTCGCTAGAATCATGCCAGAAACTTGGAAATGTGTAGGAATCCTGAAAATCAAGAAAAAAAATAATAATAAAAAAGACTGCTTCTACAGACAGTAATTTATGTAACAGAAAATACTCCAAAATCAAAAGCAGAATTCAAGAAACCCATTCTAAATATACAGTAGGTATTCAACACCTACGGATTTTAAAGATACTTGTCCTGAAGTCTGTGCTTCTCTTCTGTTCTGCACAAGGCACTTTTCTTAACACAAATGCTTTTATAATGTGACTTTTCAACTTTTTCTCATTGAAATTTTATCATTCATTGGCACAACATGTGTTAATATGAAATTATTTAAATATGTTAACGACTGAAAGGTTCCAGAGCCTCATTTTTCCCTCCATGCAATAATGCCATGCTTTCAATTTTCCACTGGGTGTTTGGCTCAATAACAATCTATTGCAAAAACAACATCACCTTTTGGACTAGCCATGTTACTTGTAACTTCTAAATTATTTGTGAGAGCTCACATTTAAGTACTGACTTTTTCACACCATTCCTGAAATCTGTTATCAAGGATGAGCCCAGCCAAAAGTGGATTTGCTGCTAAATTGAAAGAAACATCAGTATTTGGCGTTAAAGACACAACCAAAACAGACCAAAAATCCACGAAATGTTTTCAGATGCATGTGCTGAACTTCTAATGAATTTTTAATGACTTCTTGTAGTAGAAAGATAGTTTCATGTACTTATGCCATGTTCCTTGTGCTTATCAAAGTATTTTCTCATCTCCAGGTAGAATGAAAAGGTCAGGTCTAGCACTCACACATACAGTGATTCAATACTGTAAATTCAGCCCTACTGCACTTCTTTTTGAAGAAGGACCATCTTATTTTGCAGCTATGTGTGATGACATACCATAAACAAGTTAATTAATGCTTCATGGTATCATCAACGTAAATTCTCCTACGTAAGCTCATAGACTGCATCTACCCTTAGTGAAAAATTATTACGAACATGACTGATTCTCAGTTCAGCACAAGTCTCCTTTTTAAACAGCAGGGAAAATGCCACTATTAATAACAGAGCTGTCAAGACTGCATCATCTGAAAAACTCAGAGTGTTTCAAGACAAAGCCAGATTGTCATTCTCTTGCAGCAGTTTGCAGAGAAAAAAAAAATCTGATTTTTTAAATGTGGGATAGTTTAAAAGAAAACTTAGTTAAAACTTATGCACTACATCAGGTATGAGATGAATCTGTGTAGAATTCTTTTGAAAACCAGTAGTTTCTCTAAGAGGTGACTGATTTCATTTGCTTTGCATTTACCAGTGATTCACCTGCAGTGGAATAAGTCCGGGGAGCATGGAGGGTGGCTCCTGGTCTCACTGCATCTTCTATAGCTGTCTGTGCTCTTTACAAAAGAAGGAGAAGAAGGGGTGGAGAGTTCTCACAGTTACACTGACTAAATCAGAAACAGCACTTCCACACATGCCCAATTCCCCTCTTTTTGCCCTAACAGGAGAATTTAGGGAGACTTCCTTCTGTCATTCAGTGGCTTAGGGGTGGCCTAATTGAGGCCTTCCAGTACCTGAAGGGAGCCTACAAGAAAGATGGAGTGAGACTGTTTACAAAAGTATGGAATGACAGGACATGGGGGAATGGCTTCAAACTGACAGAGAGGAAGTTTAGGTGGGATACAAGGAAGAAATCCTTCCCTCTGAGAGTGGTGAGGCCCTGGCACAGGGTGCCCAGAGAAGCTGTGGCTGCCCCATCCCTGGAAATGTCCAAGGCCAGGTTGGATGGAGCTCTGAGCTACTTGGGACAGTGGAAGGGATTCCTGCTCATGGCAGGGGGTTGGAACTGGATGATGTTTAACATCTCTTCCAACCCTGGCCATTCTATGATTCTATGATTCAATACAGTCACTCTGCCCTTCCTTTTAGCAAGGCTTTTTGTTCTGCTTTCAAGTACACATGAACACAGCACATGTTAGAGAGTTCTGTTGTAATAGTGGCAGTTATACATTCCATTCCAGCAATATCTTTGAAACCAGAATACCTTTTCATACATTAATTGCTATAGAAAGTGGCTGAAGAGAATTAGCATATCAGGAAGCAATGGATGACTTAGTTTACCAGAAGGAGCAGTATTCCTATTCCATATTCATATTTGCCATTAGCACTGTTTAGAGCCCTTGAGAGTGACATTGGTAACCAAAAGGGAGTCCTGCTTTTGCTTTTAATTTTGGGAAGCAGGTTGCAGGAGAGACAGGGGAAAGGAAAATCAAAAAGTTAAACCTTCTGTTGTACTCAAAGGTAAATTGTTGGATGCAATTAAAACTCTATAAACTGTGTAAGAATGGCACTAGGAGCTATAACTCACCAGCCACCAGGCTCTCAGTTCTGACTTTTCTGATCTAAACATGGAATTTATTCATCTTGCTTGAGGGATTCCCAGCTATAGGCACTGATTCAGCACAAACCTCTGAGCTCATTCTCAGAGAAATCATTAGCAATAGTCCTTTCAGGGTACATCATTGTTCTGTCAGTGGCATGAGCTGAGTAACAGAATACATCATAAAAGTTGGTTTAAAATACTGTTGACTACCCAAATTACTTCTTTTCATTTGTTCATCAATTCCATGGAGGGACACTGTTTATTTCTGAATCATCTGCTTTTTTCCCACTGGAGGAGAAATTATTAACTTTCCACCTTTTACCTCTCAGCTGCTTCTTTCATATTTCTTCCTCAGGTTTAGCATCAGTTTGGAGATCAACAGAAACAGCTCTTTTTATTTTTATCAGCCCTGAAATGGCCCACATGCAACAGGGGTAACAAAGAAAGTTGTGCTAGCAAAAGCATGTTTGATAAAACACTATTTGAACAAAGCAGTTACACAGAGCTTAAGTGCTAGCAGTAGGAAATTACAACTCCACACACACCAGAAAGTACAAACATTGTCTTTTCAACATCATAGCACAAAGCAAGAAATACTGGGAACAGAGCATTATAGCCAAAATTTTCAGACTTTGCCATCCACATGTAAAAATTTAGGGAACAATCAAGGTTCCTAAACATAATTGTCTAGAGAGATTTGACAATCCCTCTGATGTTTTACAGTTTTTAGTTGCTGCAAGAGTGTCCTGATAGCCAGGTTCATGAATGTCAATCCTGGATATTTTAGGACATATGAAATGACAGCAGAAAAACCTGATTTATTTTTCTCATTTCAGATTTGGCCATATAGGGTACTTTGACTTTTTCAGAGGTTCTGATACTATCAATGAAACCTCCTTTTTATGCTTTACTTTTGGTTTTCCGCTTAATTGAAAAGGAATGAAAGGCCACTAAAATTGCTATAAACATGAAACAATTGCATTAAACATTGTGTTCAACTCACGTAACAGGTACCAGCTGTGACACATGAACCATTCTGTGTCATTACTGGCAATGTTTACACTGATGAGTGTTAATGCTGCTGCTGTACTGATTGCTGGTTAATTCAAAAAACTGAAATAAGCCCATTGCAAGTTAATGACTAAACCTTTCCTTTTTCCATTTTGATACAACAGGCCAACTAATCCATGAGTTATTCACACACTTCTAGTTCCTGGTAACTGAGCAACAGCATAATTTACTGGAGACATCTGCCTCACACAGCTGTACAGCAGCCAGGGAAGTGCTTGCACCAGGTGATGTGGCTCTGACACTCACAAATGGGAGAGACACATCCATTACCAAGAGTCTTATTAAAGTTATTAGGCAGAAGTAGAACTCAGATGTTGAAAAGTAGACATTGAAAGTGGGAACCAGCTGCCCAGCAGGTGCCAAGAGTAGCCTAAGAAAAAGGTGCATGTGAGAAAGAGGGAGACAGCCTTTAATCTCAGGCACTGAGCACCTCAGAGAGTTGAAGCACCCCGATGGAATTAATTTTCATTTGTGTTTAGACACCCACAGTGTAAACATCTGCACCTGAGCTGCACCAAGGCTGCTTTTGTAGGCAAAAAGGAGAAACATGCACAGATCATCTAAGCTGATTTAGACTTTTGCACTGGAAACAGGCACTAGAATGGTCTCTATATATCATCTCACATTTAATGATAAAAATCCCACTTCCCCGGACATGAAATCAGCAGACAAGGCTGGTTCCCTGTTCCTCTACATCCCAGGGCAGAGCATAGTCAGCACTTTGCAGTTCCAGACATTGTGTAGGTACTGTCCAGAAGTAAGCAAGGAATTGGGAAAACATGTCTTCTAGGTGGTTTCTAAACCTCAGCTCTGGTGTCACCTAACCCTCTTATAGGCACAATTCTTTAGACAAATCTTTGCATAAAGACTTAAATACCAGTATAAATGTCTAAAATTACCATGCAGCTACTCAGATCACAGATTTCTTTAATGAGAACACTTTTTTTTTTCTTTTTCCTTAGGCTGATAACTGTTGTCATGCACAGGAATAAAGGGTTTTTTCTAAGACCAAGGTTAAGGAACTTTGTCAGTGGTAAAAATAGCTTTCCAACCACTCATTGCACTAACTGCAAAGCATCTGCCAGCATCTTGAAATTTGAGTTATGAATTGTTCTGCTGTCAAAGAGATTCCACAATTTAATAGTCCATTCCTGTTTGTGCAGGAAAACACTACTCCCACTTAAGAGAACTTGCAGCAGGATCTGCAATACCTTAATTTTGTTAACTTTTCATGTGACTAATTGCTGGATAGACTTCTTGCTGACTCTGCCAAGATGCTGTGTGGCCCAGGAGGCTGGCAATGCTCCTGGGACATCATGAGCCTACTTTCACTTCTACAATGCACTCAAGAAGCAGCCTTTCTCTTCTTCTCTCAAAGCATTGGTGGCTCCCCCCCAGTTTACTTGCAGGACAGCTGCAATTAGAATTTGGGATCAATATTTATTCGAAAATTGGTATTTCATTTTATTTCTCTCAACCCCATAGCTTGATTCAAGTTTGATGTAGAAACCACTCACTCAGATGCCTTAAAACAGAAGAGATTCTGAGTATTAGCTTAAAGTCTTTTAAAATCTTGAACATTAATTGATCTATCCATTGCTTTCCAGGATTTGAAACAGCATCTTTCACATGGGCTGAGCATAAAGACCACTGCTGAGTGTCAGATGGATCTCTTTCCACCCAGGAAAAAGCACACCAAGGCATTTTCAAGGTCAGTAGCCAAGCAGTGAAGATTGGCTGATGTCAATCCCCAACCAGAGTATCTGTATAATTGTTTTTCAGCACAATACTATCTCTGTAAAATGGGTTTCATCATGCCTTCACTTCAGAGGAGTGAAATTGTCCAAGTGAAAGCAACACCAGAATGTTATTTCATCATAGTCAGATTCTACAGTGAGTCTCTGGAGAGAAACTTGTTTCAGATGTTGCACGGAATTTACTGTGATGGTGAAGATAAAACACTGTACTTACTTCTCTTACACCGGGACTGTCCATCCAGAGAGGGAATAACAGGAACCTGGTGAAAAGAAGTATATGATCATATTAAAAACAGAGAGAAAAATATCCAGCAGTAGCACCCCTTTAAAATAAAAACAAAACAAAAACCACAACACACAAAAAACCATCTACAACAATCAACAAAACATTTTGTCACTTTCTAGAGTCTTATTTGCAGGCTGTTGTAATCAAGTTAAGAAGCTACTATCCCAGCTAAATATTCCTTCTGTATTCACCTCAAGTAGCACAGATGCCTGAAGTGAGCCAACACTGGCACTTGAGCCATTGCAATGAAAATCTGGTACTACAGACTAAACCAACAAAGAAGGGGGTTTCCAGTTAAGGCAGTGGGCCTGGAACTGAAGCAGTTCAGAACTAATTTGTGTTCTTGGGGATAGAAAAGATGCACATGGTAACTTCTTATCACAGAGAACTTTTGCTCAGCTTTTGTGCCAGAACCTTGACCTTTATAAATAATTGAAAGACCTGTTTTCCAAAGGCAGTGGGGTACCTTAGCAGAAACTAAGGAGACAGAGGGGGGGAAAAAAAATTATTTGCCTAATTTCCACTGAAATCAGAGGTAAATGGTTCTAATCTGCATTCTTGTAAATCTGCAATTAGGTATTTCAGTAACATTGGATTTAGTCTATTACAAGGTGTACATTTTCCCCTGAACCATACTCAATGCATACTAGAGAAATAAATTTGCACAGGTAATTTTATTCTGACATTTCCTGGCTTTTTAATTCCAGTCTTTGCCTTCTGAAAAGTATTAATTGACTCAATTTTCACCCATGACAAATCCACCTCTGTTAGTAAAATATGTGATTTTACATTCATAGTGACAGAATTTTCATTCACCTTTAGACTTGACTGAAAAATGTACATGATTTCTACCGTGTTACCCTGAATGAGAACTCTATCTGTCAATTTAAATAACTTCCACTCTTTCCTTATTCGTCATACACCTTTTATCCCTTCCTTTTCCTTCTGATCTATATTCTACAGCCAACCTCCACAACTTTAACTTTTCCATCTTTTCTGAGGTATGTTTTCTTGTATTTCAATTACCAGTGGCCTGGTGTTTCATTTGCTCTGGCTTTCTTTGTAACTTTTGTTACCTTATTTAGCCCTCGAAAACACCCACAGGGAATATTACCTCAGCAGCTTATCAGAGCTGTAAAATTGAGGCTACATTTCTGATGTGCAGTATGCTCCTGCAGTACCTTCACGAGGGCATTCTGCATACACCAGGTGAATATTTACTGATGTGCTAGTGCAATAATGACCCACCTGCCTCTGCTCCTCTCTGGGGCACTTTCTGTCTATAGGGATTGGAATTAACGACAGGCTCTCTGTGCTGCCTGATGTCAGAGCTGAGAAAGGTGTCAAGGATATATAAGAGCCGTATTACTTGCCAGGAAGGAAGAGGGAAAAGGATACTCCAGAACTAGATGCAAGCTTGGAATTGTTGGATGCACACTTCTGGCTAACAAAGAGGGCTCACTGGCTTCTCCAGTTAGATCTGTGACCACAAAAAGGTAAATAATTTCCCTTTTGTCTTACTTTACTGCAGTGCAACAGATATGCTTTAGAAAAGCACAATATCTCCTATTATTAATCAAGAGCATTTTTCAGGAAAAGACTGAGACAAGTTTAAAGTAAACTGCACTGAGGACCAGAATTTGAGACTGAGATATGTCAGGAAATGCAAACCAGAGATAAGGGACAGGATTTGAAACTACTGGATGGAAAATGAGTTACTGCTGAGAGCTTTATTTCTGAAAATGAATTGTGTCACTAAACTTGAGGGGATCATTTTTCTCATTCTAGCCTGTGAAAAAGACTAGCTGCTCATGATTTAGGACAGAATGGGCATGAGTGATAGGATATGCTGAAGAGTATTTGGGTTAGCTTTTGGTTTTGAATCATTGTTCTTTTCAGAAAGTTTGGAAGGAAAGATGTGCAACCTAAAGCTGTCAGTTTTCTTCATTGCACTTTCTGTCACTCTGAGCTGTTTGGAAGCTACACCTATTGAGAGGTGAGTAACAAATAATCATGTTTATTTCCTGTTAGGGAAAAAAGTGTTCAGTTTATTGCATGTGTTGCTTCTGCTTTCATGTCTCAAATAATATAAAAATAGAGTTATTCAAGCTCGCTATTTTATTGTTGTTCTAAGATTACTGTCTGTGGCTGATGATCTATCTGATGGTACTTCCAAGAGACAAGGATGGATGTTGCCTGTAATGTCACAGAATCCACTCTCAGGACTTAGTGAGGAAATGCCAGAACAACCAGCAGCAAAGACAAAAAGGTATTGATTTTTCCTTGTTTCTTCCAGCCATATCAGATTGAATCATGAAGCAAACTTTGTTCCAGTGATATTCTGCTACTTGAGAGACTTCACTTCTGCTGTTCTTTCTCAAAAAAAAAAGAGATTAAAATATCCTTATAACTAAATAGAGCTTTCCTGTAAGCACAAAAATCAGCTTTTCTATAACATAAAGATCAAAGCATTCAAGGTAGAAAGTGAAATCCAGGGATAAACTTGGAAATCATTTATAATTGTTACACTGCCATAAATTACAAATACTATATTACCTTGAGAAGAAAGGTATATTTTGCAAATGCCTTCTTTTTTAAAAAATTTGCCAGATTTCCAAGCCTGAAGGGGAAAAAAAAAGAAAACATACCCTTCCTAATGTTGCTACTGTTCTGCTAGAATGGAATTATTTTATAGTACAAAGGCTTTCAGTAATTAAGGAAATTTTTTAATCACGTAATTAAACATTAATTTAATCCCAGGAAGAAGGAAAAGAAGAAATTGGTTCTGATAGAATTTCACTTGTCTGAAATACTTTCTTATTTATAAATACATAAATTAAATTTCCGGCAACTTTCTAACAAATAAAAAAACATTCCAGGATTTATCTGCAATTTGTACTAAAAAGATAAGCAGCACTGAACTATTCTGCTTTTCACAGAATCATCAAGGTTGGAAGAGACTTTCAAGTTCATCTAGTTTTGTCAGGCTTTTGAGTGAATTTCTTTCAATGACAATTCTGTTACAGATGAATTCAGTAAATAAGTATGTGTATATAGTTGCCTGTTCCTCCCTCTTTGAATATATGTTTAAAAAATACTATTACATGACAATTTTTGTACCTTCCAATGTAATTTTAAAACAAAGTTCTCACATTTTTACAGCTCTTTGGAAAAAAAAAAAAAAATATAAATATATATATATATATATATATATATATATATATA